GAGAGGGGCTGTTTAAGGATTTTGTGAGGTCAGTCAGAAATGAGGATTGAGATTGCTGGGTTGTTTCTGTACCAATGAGATAGCAGAGAAGGATTTGGAGGAGCGCCAACTCGGATCTTCCTATCCTCTTCTTATCTTCAAGGCCCACTACGGTATATTACGCCATAAAGAAAATGGGAAATGAGAAAAAAACATTTTAGGGCGTTTAGACTGGATGAGATTTGTAGTTGTCCTGCTTAGTCCTGGTTGAAGATACGAGTTTTTCTAGGCACAATTGCCTTATGTTTAGGGCGTGGGTGTTGCATCAAATCCCTAAAAGAGAATTCTATTGGCCTGAGATTTTTCGGAAGTAGCCGAGCAGCGTATTTGAAAATTTATTGCATTCAAAGTACAATATAAAATAATATTTTATATTTAAAAATTTTTGTCAATATTTAGTTGCTTGAAAAATTGTTTAGAAAATTTTATTGTATGTTTAATTGCATGCAAAATAAAAATCATCTTTGAAACAAGAGGTGGTCAATGGCTGGCAGGTGATGACGGGTCAGCTCGTGCATCAAAAATCAAATAAATTTGATGACTTTTAATATTTGCTAAATAAAAAGCTAAATGATGAATTTTACGTTAAAAAATGATGCCTTTCCATTTGGGGAACAAACAATTTTACAAAATTCATTTTTTAAATTATATAATGTGGCTCATACACGCTGGCGAACGAAAATCATGGTTCTTTTTGTGAATTTAAATCAATGATTGTTCCTTCCTTATCCATTTTGAATTATAATCAGCTTTGAAATTCTCAAGTTATTGAAGTTCTTAGTAATTTGGATATTTGATTTAGACGAAATGGTAATAGTCATTTGCATATTCAAAATTGGAATGAAACCTTATGAGATTCAACAATTTCATTCATTCGTTGCAGACCGGTAGAATAATGCATTTTCTCCAATAAATCAGATTTTATGTTACTTGTTACTGTATAATTCCATTTTTGTGGGATTATTTTCATGAAGAGATGAATAGATTTAAATGCTAATTATGCCGGGATCTTAAATAAATATAATTTTTTTTATAAGCCCTCTTCCATTGTAGCCAATATAACATTATAAATGTTGAATCCAAATTTATCATGTGAGACATGCCTAATTATCGGAGCAGTGGAAACCGTGAGGAAGATGTAGAGAAAGACATAGGGTGGAGAGAGAAGACGAGAGGCGAATGGGATATTCATGGGCTCTGCGACCTTTTTTTTACCTTGTAAGTAGTAGTTATGAGAGAGAAGGGAGATAGTTCTTCCCACAGAGGATGTGCATAGAGAAGAATAGACAAAAAACCCTTAGTACATGCTATGGTTTTCCTATTTGTAGAAGATAGAGAGACAAAGTATAAGATTACATGTGTACTCTTACTTTAATAGAGGCATTATATGTTAATTTTCTCTTTTAGCATGTCATTTCGTATACATAATCCATTTTGGCACCTTTCATGTGTCTGGACCTTCTAGTAAGCAGGTCATCAGGTCGATCGATTGTGTTGGTCTCGATCAGTACTTTATCTAGACACCGGTCGGACTTCACTTTGGGAAACAAATCGATTTTGAGTGGGGTAGCCAGTCGGACTTTGGATGACAGATCGATTAGCTTGAATATTGTTCCTTAGTTATCTCTAGTGATCTGTGGTGATTTTTAGTGATCTTTATTGATCTTAGGGAGAGCTATTGAAAGAATTTCATGTTTGGTAATTGTGAGATTATTGGGGGGTTAGAAATTTGACCGTTCGCTATTGTGGGCGCTTGTCATTCATCTGCCTAAGTAGCCCTTTGGTCATTGGACTGGCCATCAGTCGATCGACAGTCATTTTATCAGTCGTCAGCCCTTTCATCGGCTGACAATCAGTCTAGAGATGTTCTTTTGATGGTAGAATTCATGAGAGCTTATAGATTTTCGTCTAAGGAGTTCGAGTCATATCTCTTTTAATCGTGGTCATTAGATTGTCTCCAGATTTGCGCAGACCATTTTTTGGTATACATTTTAAGTTCCTCAGTTTTCTTAGTTTTTGACAGCGACAGCTAACATAGGGGCAAAAAATATTAAGGCAATAAATTAAATCTTAATACACATAATTTAATGCAATGAATAGACTCATTGGATTTCCATGCACGTGATAAGGTGTAGTGGACAGTTCTAAGTAATTTCAGTCTAGTTATCGTTGCATCCGCTCAACTTCTATGTTACCATTAAGGAGAAGGGATCTGATTCGGTGTCAAATCATGTCAATCAGACAAAGATGCTGGTTACTTTTAGGATAAAGAAATAGTGTCAGCCAGAAGGCGGGCTATGGAATAAGAAGTGTGAGAAGAAACTCATTAAGAAGCGTAAGCTATCTAATTGAATGGAACACTAGAAGTTGTTGGGATTCGATCAAAGAGGCGTTATAGAAGGGCTAATGTATCACGGGGAAAGAGCTGGGTGGTCCAGTGGGTGGTCCATCAATTAAGGTCCTGGCTGACCTTCTGAAACAAATAGAGATTATAAGTGCTCGTCAATCAACTAGTGTACCAACATTTGGTGGCAGTGATCAGTCGGTCAGAGAGAAAAGGACAATCAATGATCTTTCATCATTAAATGTAAGCAGAGTTACTTGGTCCGCAGTGGAGAGGATCCTAGGTAGGTGTTTTTATTTTTGCTTAGAATATAATTAGAATTTTCTCTTCTTACTTATCCTTTCTTGTTTCTTTAAGTATTTCAATATGCTCAAATTGGAGGTTTTCTCCTTGTTGGTGATGACTGAGATCCACTTGTGGTAGTGTCTTCTATACTCCTGTTGACGAAAACAAGAAGAAAGTTGACAACCACTCGATTGACCATGCAGAAATTTGTGAGGAAGTAGTTGAGGGACTCTAACTGCCCCCAAGAACACTGACATGTCCTCTCGGTGAGAGGTACACCTTGTAGAAATTTGTGAGGAGGTAGTTAGGGACACTAACTACTAATCCAGTAGATGCGAAGGAAAACTACTGCTCTTCATCAAGCCGTATCCAAACTCTAGGAAGATGCCTTCATGTAGAGGGCATACTCCGAGGCTGACTGAGTGAAACAATTCAAGATCCATAGTCAAATGTTGTATAGGAGATTAATTAGGATGGGTCTAGTCCTCGTAGAGACAGCTGAGGACCAATTTGTAAAGTATCCTCTATTGGACTAGGGCATCGGTGTAATTAATTTATTATTGAAATATTTTTTTTTTCATTTTTCTTCTCGATTTTTGTTTTGATGTAAAATTTTCTCTAGAAATCTTCATGAGTCATTTTCACTTCCATTGGGCCCTTATAAATAGAGGCTGGTGTGTTTATTTACGTCCTTACTGCCTTTTTCTCCTCGATTCTATTGCTTGGTTGTCTTCTTTTTATTTTGCATTTTCTCTTGCTTAATTTCCTTTCACTCATTTTGGGATGGCTAGCAAGCACACTCCCCAAAATTTTGCTCTAGTAGTTGTGACTGAGTAGTTGATTTTGTTCACTTCAAATGTAGGTTTTATATATGAGGCTTTTATTTTTGACTCATCAATTAGGTTTTGAAACGCTCGTTTGGATAAGAGATCTCTTCTTGAATTTTGTGAGGACTTGTTCATTTACAGGGACTAGTTATGATATGGGTTGCAACTGCCATTTGCCAAGAACTTCGCACAAATTTTCAGTTGGGGTTATCCAGGCATGGTTTAATCTGAATTCCATCACGTCAATAATGTCTTATATTGCTTTCTACTGGTGGAAAGGAATCCTATGTTTGACCGACTTGTTTAGCCACATCTTCTTGTTTTTTTGTTGGATGCTGATGGGTACGCACAGTTCGGGACAGTCGATCAATTTCAATTCTTGGGCTTCAAAGTTAAAGTTCTTTATCACCTTGTTCTCCATTGACTGAGGAATTGTGCCAACTGAGGATGCCTTCAAGAAGTAGAATGGGAGTGATGATGCCTTCAAGAAGTGAGTGGAGGACCCTCCATCGTCTTTATCACCTTTTAAGAGCTCCCCTCCCATCCACGATGGGAAAGTCTTTCTCGTCTCTCCTTCAACCATATGAAGTCCCTCTCTTTT